AATTTCCTAAAAAAAAAGAATTATTTAAAAAAAAATTCATAATTTCTAAGTGAATATTTAATATATTGTATAATATTGAAACAAAGAACTATGAAACTATGAAATTATTGTATAAAAGAAGAATCAAAAGAAATCAATGAAATGTCAGACATTATTACATTTCATAATAATTCAATACTAAGAAGTATTTTTGCATTGAATATGAGTATAAGTAGTGTATAAAAAATATTTGAAGTAACCATTTTTAGGCTGATCTCTATTCAAATGATGAGGAGCCATATGATCAGAGAGATGAAAATTATACCAATTTAGAGGATGATGAGTCATTTTATTGTGAAATATGTGATAGAAATTTTTCATCAGAAGATGCTCTTTCTGAACATAAAAGGGAACATAAGCTGTGTGGTATTGATGGATGTACTTTCTCTGCTCATCCATTACTCGTTGAAAAACATATTACTATGCAACATAACAGTGGTTTGTACCATAAAATAAAGAATATATCAACTCCCGAAGATATTGAAAAATGGATAATGGAACGAAAAAAGTAAGTTATAATGGTGTTTATAATTGTTAGTAATAATTCTTAAAAGTCCTACTTATTTTTTAGGAGGTATCCTACAAAAGCCAATATTGAGTTACGGAAAGCAGAAGAACTGGAAAAAGTACAAAGAGGGGAAATAATTAAACAAAAACAACATGTTATTAAACGAAAAAAAAAAAAATTATTACGTTCTTATAAACGAAAAAGGATAGTACATAAACAGTCTACTGAAATATCTTGCGATATTATAGAAAAAACACAAACATATAGGGGTTTACATGAATTTTCTGGTACATGTGAGTGTTAATTATTGTGTGTGTGTGTTTAATATTTAAAATATGTTTCTATATGAATAACATTTTTAGTAAGCTTAAAAAATGAAAATTTGCACATAGAAAATCAGTCTACCAATGAAACTGAAAATTATTATGAGGAAAGCATTAATCATATTTCTGATGAAGAAGAAATCCCAGTTGCACTGCCAAAATTTGCTGTTGCTACTTCTAATGTAGTTAACTTAGTAGCAAATTATGAAAGTTCTGTGGAAGATAGTAAGTATTTGATAAGCTACTCATATTATGTTCATATATATTTTATGATGTATTATAACAAAATAACATGATAGATGATGCCCCTGAAGAAATATCAATTAAAAGAGTAAAATTGGATGATGATATAACGATAGAAGAAAGTAATGCAGTAGAAGAATTAACAAATAAAAATGAAGTCATCGACAAGACGTATTTAAGTACCAAATTTTCTAATCCACAATTAACAGATTCCGGTCCTAAAGCCTCTAAAAATAAACATAATATTGCATTACATCGAAATGCAAAAAATAAAGATCAAAAAACAACTATAAATAAAAGGCAGCCATATACATCACAGTTATTACAAAAATTACTTTCGCGATCTATACAGCACGAAAGAAATTTAATTTGCCAATGTATAAAATATATAGTTGATAATAATTATTTTGACTGAAATTATATATTTGTTTTATTCATAATGTAATTAGCATTTTCTTACTACCTCCTTTTTACGGCAAAACACACTTTCTATTTGTATAATATATGGGTAAATAAATACTACAACATATTATAATCATTTATTATTTATTGTACAGATCATATTTAAAAATATTTTACATTGTTGAAGTTTTGACAAACTGTTTTTTCTTTTTTTTAAATTGCTTTTTTTTAACTTCCACAATACTGTCATCTTCTGATGCTCTTTTTTCTCCACTTTTTATAGATATAAGTTTTTTAGTTTTCTTCCCAGAAAGTGCATCATTCCAATCAGTATCTGTTCCTTTAATTGCATATTGTTCTAAGTTTTCTTTTTTCAATTTTTCTAATTCCGCTTTTTGTTTAGCTTTTAATTCCTGAAACATATTTAAATCAAGTAGTAAATAATGGTGTATGTCAACAAAAAGTGAATATAATTATTATATATTGTAAGAAGAAAGTTATTAAACCTTGGCTGCAGCTTCTAATTCATCGTGTAAACTTTTTCCATTAATAGGATTAAGTCGTACAGTTTCATTACTGATTTCCGTTTTCATCATCGTGGTCTCAATAAAGTTTTCTGCTGTTCTGTTAAGGCACTGCACAAATTTACGTATAATACGATTGAATAAAGCTAGTAATTGAGATGCTGGTAAGTCTAATTCTTCTGCTAATTTATCCACAGTTTTGTGTTGCAAACCTAATCCTAATAAAATAGCCTAAAAATAACAATATCAATTTTTAAATAAATATCGGTAATAGATCCATTATCAGATGATAATCTGCCATATTATTACTATACATAGTTAAACGTTTTAAATCATAGGACGTAAAATAGATATCCAATGTATGTTTTGATAATTCTAAAATAAACATAATTATTTGAAAAGAATATACATTAAAGAAATTGTATTATTAAAGATATACTAACTTGTAATCTCTGGTGTAATCTTTTTATTAATTAATATGCTTAAAGCTAATGAAGATGAATATGTATTAAATGAACTAGAAAGTAAACTGATGAACCGTCTTCGAAAATCATTCCAATATGCTTGTAACCACCTAACATCTTCTTGTTCAGAACTTATCTTGTACAACATGATACACGAGTGTTCACCTGTTATATCATTTGTCGTTTGTCTAAAAAAAGGTGGAAAAAATAGAGGTCTCCTGTTGTTAAATATATGAGGTTATAATAGTAATAAACAATAATGCAAACCTTAAATATACAGGCACAAAGCCAGCACGCTTCCAAAATTTTAGAAGTTGTTCAGTAACTCCAAAAGATACACCGATATAATCTAAACTTTCTGGGCGTCTTTCAGTTAGTTTTAAAAGAAGTGGTGGAAGAGAAGCTCGAGGTTCTAAAAAATTATTAATATGAAATTAACAAGGTAAACTCAAATTAATGTTTTATATGTGATACAATAAATATAATTACCAATTCTTTCTTCCAGTAAATTCATCTCTTCATCTTGAACTCTTGATATTTCTGTCGTATATGTTTCTGACGATGCTTCGTTAATATTTAATATTTTCATGTCATAGTATTGTTTCAACAATTTTAATGCTCGACTACCGTATCCCATCTGTAATATTAAGTATTTATTAAATAGAAATTAGCTTGATTAATTTCTGTAATAACACATACTTACCCCATGATAATCGGGATGCGTTGCAATGCGGACAATACGTGCTCCAGCTAACGACGGAAAATCTTGATCTTGATATTGTTGTGCGATAGTCCATGGTATAAGATCACCAGCTGCTTTGCGCCCTCGGCCTAGTCCATCATTTATGGTGTACTTACTCACTTCACCTTCTAAGCAAATCTATATATTATAAGAATATTAGAACTACAAAAGTACTTAAGCTACTTAAATTTACATGTATATTTACTGTTACTGTTACATTGTATATACTTACTTGAATTACTGTTAATACTTCAGGCAATGTTTTCTTGTTTGAATCTACTGGACCCAAAAGACAAAATAGGTGATGTGCTGGTGCATCAGACATCATTTGTAAATCATTTGGACTATTCTAAAATATTACCAGAAAATCAGTATTTTAAAAATTTTTTTAAAATAAATAACATTTACCTTGTAGTGTGAAGCGACATAAAGAGCCACCAACCTTTGTAAAAATAATTCAGATGCTTTATGATAAGAAAATAAGGTATCTCTAAAAAAAAAAGAATATAAAAACATTAAACTGAATATTATAGAGATACATATATTTAATATGAAAAAAATTATTACCTATTTATGTAGTATAATTGACACATATCAGGAGGTGGACATCCAGATAACATAGATACACTTGTTGTAGCATTTAAGCATAATAAATTACAGAGCCATTGCTCAATAGAGTCCCCTGGCTTATAACGAATAGATTCTTCCAATGTGAGTTCATGTAATTGTCTTCCAATAAAAGTTTTTTCATTTTGTTGTTTCTCAGTTTTTACATGACTATTTGAACCAACTGTTTGACTTCGTAATTGCTGTAATAGTTTCAGTGATAAAGATCTCCCTGTTCCTTCATATCTATAAAAAAATAATATTAGTAATATGTACGAATTGAACAATGATTAAAAAATAATTGAATTACAAGATATAATTTACCCATTAATAGTTGATGAAAGAAATATTAAATAAGGACCAAGCATAGCTTTCACATAAGGAAGAGGTATTGCAGCAGCTTCATCAATTACAAGTAATTCAGCTTGATTTAATTTGTGTGCATCAGTAGGATGTATATACTAAAAGAAATTACTTTTTTTTATCAATATTTTCAATGATTATGTCATTTTAATAAAATTATATCAATCAAGAGTATTATACCTGTATTGTTTGCCTGTGATCTCGAAAAACATTTACACGTACTGTAGCTTTATTAAACTCAGGATTTGTTGATTGTACAAGTCCATAATCAAGATGTTCTTGATACCCTAATGCATCAAATCCTAAAAATGATATAAAAGTTTAATATATTCAAACATAATGACTTATTGTACAATTTACCTTTAAAAATGAATTCAAATAATGTATTCAAATTTTCTGGACTTGGACTTGAAACATAAATGTTTGAATAACTGAATGTTATAGCACCAGCAATAGCTAAACCTAGAGCTGCAGATTTTCCACGTCCTCTAGCTGCAGTTAAAGAGACAGTAGACCTTAATGTTTTTTCTGATATACATTCAATAAATTTGAGAAGACCTGATCAATTGTCTTGCAGCAATTAACAAGAGAAGAAATAGGCTGTGTATCTTTTAAACTCTCTTTTAATACATCTAATTCTGTTAGTTCTTCAGAAGATGGAAGTTTTTGTATAGGTTCAATCTTTAAATTATGTGATGATAAAGGTAATACATTTAATTGATCATCAACAACTAAACATCTTTTGCATGAAGCAAGAGATAACAAAAATCTTTCATTAAATCGACCAGTAACATCCTAAAATAAAGTTAAAAATATAATAACATTATCATATAAGACTACCACTTAAATATCATACAACCAAGTCAAAATGACAACATACTTGATGTGCTTCTGTACGGAATCTTTGATGAACATCCATATTCATTGTATATAGTTGTTTCAAAGATTGCACTGATTGTAAGAGAAATATGATAAGTCCACCTCCTTCTACAGTTTCAATAGTACGTGCTAACAAATTTGGTGTAATTGCTTCAAAATCCTAAAAAAAATACTTTTCTGTTAAAATGATCATATATGTTCAATTCAATTAATCAGAAACCTTACTTGTAAAATACACATCCCATATGTATTTCCCAATATTTTATGTGTTTCATAATAATAGCAATATCTTATATTAGTAGAGACAACAAATAATTCAAATGGATCATCTTCATTAACATCTAATTTTCCTGATTTGACTTTCTTCTGTATGGACTTCATTCGCTTCTTCCTATGACTACTAAATCCCAATTCCTTCTTGTAACACCAAAGTACAGAAGGTCTAGCTTTTATAACAGTCTTTGATAACATGTGATGTAGCAAAACTACCTAATAAACAATTATAGTATTTTTTTAAGTGATTAAATCTAATAAATTAATATACATATAATTAAGTATAACATATTTCCATATGTAATTATATACTGAAAATATATAACATACACTAACCTGATCTCGTGCTTTTTCACCAATAACAATAAACATCGTTCTATGTCCCGTGACAACACCATTTTCAATTAAAACACGAACGCGATTATCTATTTTTTTACGAACCATTTTTAAAATAAACTATTTATTTATTATTCAATCTTTAATTGAAGGCGTGATACACTACAACGTGTACACCACATGTATGATGTGTATTGATATTACAATGTGCGCATCCATCTTGTTACTTTAATACCAACTTACATGTCCAACAAATAATTACTATATATTTTTATTAAAATTTTTAGGAACGATGAAGAAATAAACATAATAATTATTAATTTATGTAACTATATAATTTAAATAAATC